TATCTTGAGCAGAATAAATAAATCGACTACGTACATGTACGGTTATTTTAAACATTCAATGTGTATCAAATTTAATATGTGTAATTATAGTCCTTAAATTTATATGCGAATGAAAATTCAATCTTTCTGACTCGGTGTGTTTTTCTGAAAAATTAAAAAAATAATAATAATAAGCGCCCGTGACTGTCGCAACAAAAGTGCATTTGTCATAAACTCAATAAATTCGCTTCGGGAGGTTTGCTGTGCCCATAGCTTGTATTCGAAAGTAGGATACGTCCATTTAGATGTTGATAATATGCAGTATTAAGGTTTAATTTATGAATAATAATAAAAAACAATAATAATAATAATTATTATTATCATCATCCCAGGTGAGAGTCGCTGTGTCATTATTCCTATTACGAACAGTAATTCACCATTTACGACTGGCACAAAAGCTCTGATCGGCCGCTTTCCCCTGGTCAGATGCGCAGGTACGTATCGCGCTCCGTCCATTTGCTGTCATTCACGGCTGTGGGAACATCTGGCTGGAGGGTGTCCGCCGCTAGCTCGCGCCTGGCCCGTCCGATCTGCCAGCTGTTACATCACCTCAGGATTTTAATCAAATGCTTCTCTCTTTTAAATAGCAAACACGGAGAGTGCGCCGGGAGCATTAAACACTTACACAGCTTGGGAAAAATTTGTCCGGCACATCTGGGATACGATACGCGGGGTGCATTTCGCCAGGACCGAGGTGGACCACCGGTAGTTTTTACGTATTTATAAATGTGTCATATTATCACGTTTCCCCCCAGGATTAAGATCTGTTTATTTACTTTGCGTGATTTATGTATGTAATTCATATTATTTACCACGGTTCAGTTATGAAGGACTTGTATTGACCTTGTTTATTACATATTTCAGAGTCTCCCACTGTTACAGTCAGCAAAATGTGTCTTACAAGTTATGCTCCTCTTCTTGACTTTCCAAAAATCTAGATTCTGATTTGTAGTTCCAAAACACTTAACTGCTGCAGTACTGTATTAAAACTAGAGCTGGACCTGCTTTTGTTCGTTTGCCTCCATCCATTTGCAGGGTGTGTCGAGGGTGTACTTAATGTTCTTGCTGCAGATGGTTATTCATTCCCTTTCTTTTGTTTGTCTGTGTTATTAATTTGTTAAATAAACTTTCTAGACATAAGAATTAAAGCTTCACAGCAGAGTCAACCTCACAGACTTTGTTCAAACATAAACGTAGGAACAGGAGACTTCAAGTCGTGGATGGAAGGCCGGTGAGGTTCTGCATCATACCACAGGATAGGAGCTCTATCCTGGTGGGGGTTTGCGTTGACCCTACTCGGGGTGGTTCAGTTCGCTGGGGTCTTACGTTACCACAGCCCATGTCCCATGTCCCCCCCCCACCATGTAATATGTCACTTTCCCGTGTGATCAAGCCTCTCCGTGTCACAGAACCCCAAAGCGTCTCATGTTGGGCAGGAAAAAGATATTGCTATTGGGATGGGAATGGGGGCTTGGCAAGCTAACGAGCAGGACCCCCTCCCCTAAAAGCTGATGTCTTCCAGGCCCCATGACTGTCAAAACATCTCTCTGTACTGGAGGACGCGCACCCCCTCAAAGTCAGTGTTCCCGGCCCACGAGCCTGGATTCGATTTCTTGGTTGAGCGATCCGGGTCCATGAATTCCTCATGCGGATTCTCTCTGGGGCTCGTCGGGCCCAGCCCGACTACG